AAAAAAAACTATACCATATCTACAAAAATAACGAATAATACAACGATTACTGGCATGCACACCTAATCGCTCCCCATTTATTTCCCCACAGTGTATCCGTGGCAGTTGAGCAGCTTATGAGAGAACCAGAGATTTGGGGTTCATTTCAGAAGAGCCAGGGAGTGATACTGAAATCACTGTGCACCCAAGCCTACTTCAGAGGCAAACAATACTATCTGCAAAGTCCCCTCTTCTCCAGCAGCAGACTACTGAGCACGCAAGAGAGTAAAGTACTTGCACAGCCTTCGTCTGTGTGACGCAGTGTGATTAGTTTGGCTTTTAGCCCCGGAGAAGCAGTGGCGGAGCGACAGGAGGGCAGGAGGGGTTAGGAGCTGATATGTAGGCAGAGGTATAGCAGGGAAATGCACAACAGGCTTGGGTGGTATGACGGTATTACGGTATACCCCGGTATTTAGAAATCCCCAAGGTATCATGTTTAATACCATAAAAAATAGACACCTGTCTCCTCTTTACCATGGCGCTCAACTTCCACACTGATGAGCCCCGTTCAGGCTCCGTTTGGGAGTAGCCTACATGATTGAGTAGCCTACATGATTGAGTAGCCTACTGTACATGATTGAGTAACCTACATGATTGAGTAACCTACATGGTTTACGTATTTACATGTTTGTTTGTTTTTTTCAATATACTGTCATATACCGTATACCGGGTCTAGAAGGTATGACGATGTGGAAAAAAAATAGATGACGCTCAAGCCTAACACATGATGTGGCAGAATATATGGGAGCCACCCTCACACACGAAGCCACACCCACAGGGAACAGAGAGCAGAGGGGAGGCGGAGTCTCAGGAGAACCCTGCTTATGGATTGGTGCTCTGCGAAAGTAATGCACCAATGAGGCGCTGCGATTCTAGCACACCAGTATCCAAAGACCATGGTGAGTGACTGGTCAATACTAGTGACTACAGCTGGAAGGACAACCTGGAAATGACTGTTTGTCACCCTGTGATATCACTGACACAGAAAAACTCTGTAACCCGCTGCAACCCATCTAATCTGTGAGCTTGAGAATCACCAGCTCCAGGAGCGACTTGGCTTTTCTGACCATGGCAAGAATCTCACGACAGTTCAGTTTAAGCAAGGAATGGAATGAATTACCTCACACACAGATAATATCGATTATTTAAATTAAATGTTGAGGCAAGTCATTTATGCATATACTGCATACATAAAAATATGCAGTATACACATACATACACACATATACTGTATACATAACAGCAATATATATTTGATATATACATTTCACTTATGGGTAACACTATGTTTATCATTTATTAGAAGTGGGGAAAAAAAATCTATCCTCAAAACTAGCAGTACGGTCCAAGCACGTCACGCTCTGAACTTCTCTACTTGTATAATAAGAACCTTTCTGTATGGTACTGTTACGGATCGTTTTGGCTGGAACCTAATCCTGAATTTTGTCAGTCACATATTCGTCTAGAACCCTATTATGCGGCACGGTAAGTTAACTCTGCTCCAGTTTGGCTTTCGTCAGCACAACAGCGTATTGTCCTGGGAGCCCACTGAGATTCGGGGTAGGGTGGCAGCCGTGAACGTCACCCTGCCCACTGCCCCATTTTCATGATGACTAAAGCTGCTGTAAACAGCACGACAAACCCACATATGGTAAGCTACCATCTCAACTGCTGCTTGTTTACTGCTCGCTCGGTTTTCCCCGTTTCGGGACGGAAAGGTTCGTTGTGTTCTTCCTGGCCTGTAGCATCCCCGGCGCTGCGTGACACTGTCATGGAGCTGTTTAGCAGAGCGCCTGCCTACTCAGCGGGCACGCCAGCGGGCACGCCAGCGGGCGCTCGGAGGCTGCGCACTGTGCGGTAACGATAAGTCAGGACCGGGTCATGCAGAGGCTGCTGTCAGAGCATGGAGGCTAGCGGCTGCGAAGAGGACGCCGGCGTTCTGCTGTAAACATGTGCAAGAGCATTTTATCATGCTGCTGAGTTGCCCTTCATGCCTGGAAAGCATCACTGCTCCATTGTAAAAGACCTTACTCTATATGTACGTTCAGAATCCCCCCCCAGCTCTATGTGGACAGACCATACAAGTATATACAGTACTGTGCCGAAGTCAAGAAAAAGTTTAAATGTTTAAATGACCTTCATGTTGATGTAAAACTATGATATTATGTTTGCCAAAGAGCGTCAGCTTAGTCATTCCAAAACCCCTCCAAAAGTCACCACAATATCAATATACAAATGCATTTTTTGACTCCACCACTAACATCATGGCTAATCAATACCTCATTGAGTTAAGTTAATTAATTAATTGAACCGATGGTCAAATTTCATGAACAGACGAATGGCTGTGGTGCCCCTGAGGAGAGGTCTGGAAACTGAATGGTTGTTTTTCCATCCATCCAATAAGATACTAGTAACTTTTGGAGAACAGAAGACATTTTTGTTCATTTTTTTTGTTTTATTGTTAATTTGCACATATTCCAATGTTAAATCGTGTTTTTTTCCCTGCACAAATATTCACTTAATACACAGATAAATAGCTTGAAACATTTGCTTTACCTAACACTTTTGCACAGTACTGTATATACTGGTACAGGTCACAAAACCAACAGATAGAATCTATTACTGGAAAATAACTGCCAATAGGGGGAAAGAATGGGTGCCAGCTATGTTATCAGCCTTATGGACAAACAGCATTAGCAGAAGCCTTTGCATCAGCCCGCAGGAAAGCCATGAGGCCCACAGTGCGATCCGGTAGAGCGCAGGGTTAAACCCAACAAGACAGCGAAAGGGGGCCCCGCCCTTGCTCCCCACCACCTTACCCTTCTTCTCCACACTGAATGCTTCCGAGTCAGGTGACCCCTGCTCCCCCACAGGAGGGCGGTCATCTGGACCAGTACCCCTCTGTGGGTCAACTGTCACCTTTGGAAAAGCCGCCCCACGATTGGTAGTGCTGGCACTTGTGGGTGTGGTCTTCCCTGTGGTTACCGGGAGGGGCAATAGAGGGACCAAACAGCAACATCCATTATAGATACATAAAGCAGTGGAATTGATGTAAATATGGCCTGAACAAGCATCTCCGCCATCACTGATCAGACCAGCTCAGTTCAATTTATAGCACAAAACTATCGTGGTTTTCCGTGGGGGGAAAACAACAACATTGAAATTATTGCCTCTAACATACCCTTAGGGAAACCGCTCAATTTTAAACAACAGCAAAACACAATAAAGAAGAGTAAATCAATTATTGTAAATTGCAAAGTTCTGCAGGTGCTCTTACAACTGAACAGTTAGTGGTTCTCTATCTGGGGAATGTTTTCGATGGCTTAAAGCAGCTATTAAACAAGCCTCTGCTTTCTTATAATTAAAAATAATTATTGGGCTGTTCAGCCTGTCTTGTGGGGGCCGATACTGCAGTTGGATTATGTAAGCCTCTCGTAAGTTTCAGCCTGATTTGGTGAAAGTCACTTTCCTAACTATAATAAAAATAAATACACCATAGAAAAGTTTCTGGGTGCCTACAGACTTTTAGTTTTGTTTCACAACCAGCAAACTTTGAAAGCAAAATGACAGTATAGTTATAAATATGGTTATGAAGTTATAGGATGACAGTAGCACGATACTTACTGATGGACCAAAATAATGTGTTGATTCAAAAAAATTACATTTCAAAGTAGAGGTACTTTATTCATGTCCATAGAGAATGGGGTAGTCTCAATGAGAGACACACACACATATGCACAGGTTTCGGGGTCAGAGCCAGCATCCATGGCCTGATAATTTTGGGGTCAGGACCGGCCAGCATCCAAGGCCTGACAGTTTTGGGGTCAGAACCAGCCAGCATCCAAGGTCTGACCGTGATAAGTCCTCTCTGCCAACCGTAGGATTTGAACCAGTGACCTTCCGGACACAGGCACTGATCCGTAACCCTAAACTGCTGAGGGACAGATGGCATCATTTTCATATGTTTTGCAGTCTACAGTTAAGATATGAATTATACAATGCAATTTTAATGGAAACCATATTACAAACTGGGGCACTCTGGTGAACTCTGGTGAACTGCTAAAGATTCTTAAATTTGTGGCGGCAAGTTGGTATTTTCAAGGTCTCCCACTCCAAGTTTAATCAAGTTAGGGGCGTCCCTTAAGTCCTGCACCCGGGGACCAGTTGTCCTTGGGATGCGTCCGCACCTCACAGATCCAGGACTGCTTGACGGGGTGACGGACCGGCCGGAAAGCTCCTGTGAGATGTCGGCCCCAGAGCTCCATCTGTACCGGGTAAATGAAGCCACTGTGCCAGCAGAGGCTAGAGCTGCTATGGAGGACAATGGCTGCGCGGCAGCGTTATTAATCTAATTTAAGCCCCCCCTCCTCAAACGAATTCATATAATTTGTCTGAGAGCGATCAAAGCATGGAGACTGCAGGTGTAGAGGCGTCACGTTGGTGGAATTTTCTCATAATGGGAAGAGCGATCGCTGACCCGCCGCCGTGTGCCGGTGTAACGATCCAGCCGCGGCCTCGCAGCGGGGGAGCAAAAAATGACGCTCGCCTCGGCCTCAATGGCTGTCGACGGCTTCTCACGCAACGGCTAATTTCCTCAAAGAGGGAAAATGGAAACCTACGGAGATAAATTTCTGCCGTGGGGGGTGGGGTGGGCGTAAAAAGAAAATGAGCGACGCTGTGGGAGTGCGGGCCGAGGCGCTCGCTCATCTGGGCACCTCTCTTCGCGAGGGAGCGCGTCAAACCGAATTAAAATCCCCGGGATGAGATCGCGGCAAAATAGACCGCAAATGCTGCACACTGACTCACAGCATCCATCGCAGCATGACACCAAATGAAATGGAGGGCTGTCTTATTTACCACAAGGAAAGAAAATGAAATAAAATGATGTTTTACGGCACGGCGCTGGTTTCAGGTCATCAGCAAAGAAGCTCAGACACGAGTTGATGCCAATTAATTTCTGATTAATTACTTATATAAATGTTTATATTCTAAACGGACAAACAAGGTAAAGAAAATAAAACATCACAAACACTGTCATTGTAAGACTTAGGGTTAGAGGAATTAGGGAAGTTGCTGTATAGTTTAAATCTTTGACATTTTGGACAATAGTTTGAAGCTGCGAAATTCTGGGAAATGATGGCTCTTGAGAATTCCTGTCACTGGACACTCAAAAATGCAAATCTGTTTAAAAACAAAGCGCCATCTTAGCTGTGGTCTGTTTTCTTACAATTTTAGTAGCTTTGTCTTCTCCAACATCCCAGACACGCTGATGTCCGAAACATTCATGCTACTCATCAGTGGGTTTTGAACTTAAATATGAGCTGGATAGCTTAATATGGAACTGATCTGGATTTGATATTGATGGATATGGAAGAAGAAGAAAAAGATCCTCCTTCCATACAGATAGGAGGGACGAAAAACTCTTGCCGAATTATAAGTAACTCAAAAATATCAACTGAGTCCTGAGAACTTCTGATAACGCGCATTAAGGATCATGCTCCTGACTTGTGCTCTAGCTGAAAACTGAGTGGCATTAAATTTTCTACAACCCATAAAAAAAGAGTTACACTGCAGCAAAGGAAACCGATCCAGTGAGCTTGGTATCAACATACAGAACCAGATCCATGATGAAAAGTGAAACAGGGCAAACCAGCAAATTCAAACATACGGACTATCTGAGCTCCATACATCATACAGTATATCACCCCCCAGACAACAGCATCAAAAAATATATTTCCTCGATATCGTTGCCATTACAGTTGGTAGTCGGCTTGCTTTCCCAGAACACATTCTATTCTATTAAAAGAGAAAGTATGAAGAAAACTGACAAACTGACCATAAGCCGAATCAGCGGCAGTGTTCTGCTTTCGCGTGGTGGCCTGGACATCTACAGAAAGCAGAAGGAAGGAAGATCTTCAAGAAGCAGAGTCTGAGCAATTACAGGCAGCCACAGGGTTAAGAACAATGGGCAGCTCGTACTGCCATAAAGCCTATTAAAGCTACGGATCTTGACGTAACCTACGGACAGCCTGTACTTCACGGCTCATGTTGCCGACTTCTTTCTTAAATGTATCGTCACTGTTTTTAATGCTACATAGACCAGCACAATGCGTTACTTTGAATCGGATACAGAAATCGTCAATATCCGATCTTAATTTTACACGTCATGGAAATGCATATGTACATGTATAGGAAGAAATGGTCGCATATAAGGAAGAGGCGTAGGAAACCAGGACTGTCAGCCCTTACCATGGCAGGAGTCTTGGTGTTCCCTCAACAGACCTTCAATATCTTGCTCAAACCCAGCCCTGAAAAACAAACAAATCGGGGGGGGGGGGGGGGCATAAACAATCTGTTAGAGCCTCTGCATAATTTGTCCCTTTTGCCTGTGACAGTCGTTTCCATGTAACAGTCGTGTCAATAGGATAAAGTAATGACAAGCGACATCTTGGCTAAAGGAACAGTCTGTGTGTCACTCCGGATAAGGCTGGAACATAATGCTTCACCTATACTGATGGATGGGATGGGGACTGAACTGAAGCCTGCTGTGATAAACAGGGCAACGGCATAGGGAAGGGGGGGGGGGGTGTTAATGAAGGTCAGACAATTGTACACACAGCCAGGTGGCAGGGAGGGTTTACAGCTTGCCACACATTCGAGGACATAACAAATGTTAACTGGGAGACCCTGGCTAACAATGTTTACCTTTATCCGGAGTCCTCTGTGGCATCCCCCGTTACCCTGGTAGCGGCAATTTCATTTGTCTCATGACTCGCTCTTTGCTGAGCTGGGAATATCAATTTTACTTTCCCTCAGAATGTCTGTACTTTGATTTAGACACCAGAAGCAAGATCCTGTAATCTATTATTCCCCCTGAGCTATACTTGCAGGGCACTTCCACTGCAACGCAGATGCACGTTATTAAAAAATAAAGGCCGCTTTCATAATTGAAATCCCTCTGGTGAAAAAAATGGAATCGCTCAAAGTTTCGGGGAGCCATTTCAATTGAGATCGGTGTCACGTAAACAAACGGGAATCCATTTATGGCCACGACTGACTGCTCGGAGACTGGCAGACGGTAAGAGAAACACGCGGTCCATGACTAATGGCAAGGCGGATGCCTTCGCTTCCAAAAGACTGACCTTAAATGCCGTCCCAACCGCCCATTAGAAAGGTAAGTAAACAAAATGACTCGTTTCATCCAAACACTTTATCTGCCCTCGACATAAATGCGGTTTATTCAATTTTTGGACAGCGGAGTATTCAATCAACCTGCCACACTTTTTCTCTTATTATTTCATTCCTTTTTCCATTAACCTGAAAGATGTGAGGCTGGTAAGATGAAAATCGGGCTGTGATCAGAACATTATTATCCGGACTGTCCCTACTGCTGCCATGATTGTGGAGCCACATTTACCTTGTAATGGAAAGTTAAGTTTGGACACACAACTATACATATAAAGTTCTCGCGAAAACATCGTAGAGTCTACTAACACAAACCGAGATGATACAGTCTACCACACACCTAGGCTACAGATTGTTTTTTGTAAGTAGAAAGAATACATTCCAAAATAATTATAAAAAGTACAGTAAATACATAAACCAGTAACATAGTTAATACTTGATAATAATAAATGTGTACTGTATATAATTATATGTGCTACACTTTTGTACAACTGGTAGAACATGTCTATTGTATATGTGCTATACTTTTGTACAACTGGTAGTACATTAGGTTTGCTTATACAAGCATCAGCACAAACATGCGAGTACCGAAACTGCAGCACATTTCTGTAGCAGAATAACCCAATGCTAAAAAAACACATGGGTGTATTGGAGGGGTTACTTTAGGAGAGGTTTTGTAAAGGTTAAACTAACACTCTTTGACAAACATCATAGCTTTACACCAACATAAAGTCAAACATCATTTACTTTGAATATTTAAGACTTTTGCACGGTACTATATTTGCACGAAAGACATGGCCTGGCACTCAGGCTAACACCCAGCAAAGCCTGATAGAAGATGGGAAGACAGAAGGCATTACTGTTCATTCTAAGCTTATCTGTTCCTTCCAAGTTGACAGGATCCCAGCAGCATCCTTCACCCGAAATTTTGAAAAAAGAAAGGAAAAAAAACACACACTTTCATTTTTTTTTTCCTTTTCCAGGAATCAGTATTTCACCTGCATTTCCTGTTCTTTATCCACTTCTCACTTCAAGACATCTTCGCGATTGTAGGGGTGATCAGGGCACCGCGACACTGCCACATCCAAAGACCTCTCTAGACTCTCTTTCTGGGTCTTTTCACATCGTTTTCCCTAATCTGCACACCCAGGCATGGGTGCCGTGGCAACCGGAGACATCTGGCTGCTCAACTCTCCTGCTTCATTATTTTTCTTTATTCGTTTCTTTATTCGCTTCTCAGTCTGGCCACGTGTGTCACACAGAGCATGGACACCAGGAGACAAGAATCTAAGGTGATGGACTCTCAGACCTCCGGATGCACGGGCTCACAAACACGGGGCCTTGGTTTACGGCCCACCTATGCAGCGAGAAACGGCACACAAGGTGGGTCACATCGTGTATGGGAACAATGCTGGTAAAAGCCAAACAGGAGCGAATTGCCTCGTTTCCAAAGCCTCTCCCCAGACAGGCCGTGATTGAAATCCACTCGGTTGGACACTGCTTTCGATTACATGCAACAGGGCAGAAAGAGACGAGGAGGAGATTGATTGGCCTTTCGCTCCTGTACTCCTCGCCGTCTAGGCAGCTGAGTGATCGATAGCTCTCGGTATCAAACGGCTTCTTTCAAGTTCATCAGAATAGGTAAATAAATCACATATGGGTCATTTTGATTGATTACATTCCTATTCCTCCTGCTTCAAAGAGTTAAAGGCTAAGTACAGCAAGCCAACGGCTTCTCAATGAAAAAGTAAGGGAAGACTGGGAAGGTTCGGTTCAATTCAAATTATACCAGAGGTGGAAAGACACCTTAACGAATCGGGGAATAACAATCAGGGTTAGGATGCTACTGTTAATCCGTATTTAGTGCGTCTCGTGTACCTGAGGCCATGAGTCGCGGTGGCACAGCTTCCATTCCTCAGCCAGACGCAGTAGGGGTCGCGGGAAGCCAGGCAGCTCCTGTAAGACGACAGCAACACGACGACTTAGACCTGAGCAGCCTGCTCTATGCAGAGATACGTGAACTACAGCAACCTCCACCACCGACAAGAAAGGGGTCAGGAAGTATCATTTCACAAACACGACTAGCGCTTTGGAGAAGAGCAGAAACTGCGACTCAGACAGGCTGAGGCCCGAGGACAAGGCTGTAGGGGTGATTTTAAGATGTTTTTTTTCCTTTTCTTTTCTTTTCTTTAAGGTGGCAGTATATTTATACAGAGGGTTCAACCTTATCAGCCAATGATACGTTTTAAATCTTTGAGTGACAGGGAAAGGGGGACCCCGGGAGCCAATCAGCCTTCAGGCTTACAGGCCAGGAAGACATCACTCCTCCATAGCACATGGGGAAAAAAGCCTGTGTGCTTTTCTTCACGCTCCCCTTAAGTGGCTTCATAACAGGATCCCACTTCTAGAGACCAGCTAATGCACCTCGATGCACTTCAGTTAAATTAAAAACTACAGCTGAGGACACAGCAGAAAGTCATGGGCTTAACATATGAAAACCATTCAAACGGATTTTAAAATACAGAATTGTCATGTAGACAAGGAGGAAGAAAATGTACAGCAATGAGCAACATTTCACACCTATGCTGTTTTCACCTGCCATATGTTCAGTCTGGCAAAATCTTCTGGCTAACACAAAGAAACTTCTTTCCACTTTCACTAACTGACCAATAGATAGCACCCTTCCCAAAAGAATAGGAAGTTGCCATGACAACAATATCTCCTACAACATCTGCGATATAACAGATTTAAGGGGGCGAGGAAAAACTTCAAAAATCAATCACCAGCTTCAAATCCATTCAATTTCTCTTAGTGCAAACAGTGTGGGACCCAGCACTCGTTCACACAGGAAGTCAAAGCTTTTCCTTGTTACATGTGATAGAAACACTAAGCACTGGAGTCAGACTCGACTTCGTTAGCTTGAATGAGGTTGAAGTCGCACTCTGGAAGACTGCAGTCATTATCAGGTCCCTAACCCCCCGCTATGAGATACAGTATAGCGCTCCATTCTCGAGGTTCCTGGTAATAGGATTGTGATCCCGTTAACGAGAAAAAAAACAGCCAGTTTCTTCATACCACTTTTGGCCTCTATCCAATCCTCTATCCAATCCTCTATCCAATCCCGTTTTTAGTTTACGTTTAAATACACAAGAATTATGACAGTGTTATCTGAGAGGTAAAAAAAAACACTGCATAATACAAAGTTCTTGTGATGATACTATACTATATAAAAACCTGCCACAATCATTCAAACAGATTTTAAACCAAAAGAAAATGTCCACTTTCTTCCCAGCACATTTACATAAAACTTACTAAGCTGTAGCAAAAACCTATTTCCTAACAGATTTATCGAAGGGTTCGTAGTTAAATTCAGTGTCAGACCCAATGGTGAGTGGCCTACTAGTGGTGACAGAGGAGACGCTCACTTCTTGCAGGTGCCATGATCCGCGCAGCGACTGAGGGGCACTCGGATAATGCAGCTGGAGAAGGCCACGAACAGGCCGTGGTGCTCCCTGTCCAGCTCCAAGCCCAGAACCTTCCGGTCCTCACCGCGCACGTTGCACCTGTGTGAAACAGGAGGCGTTGAGAAACAAACACAACAGCGAACAGGATGGTTAGGAAGCTAAGGAGATAAAGGTATAGATTCTACATGTGATTACCAGTCAGGCAGGAAAGTGGATGGATGCTTTTAGTTTGAAATTCAACACAACAGAACTTGGAGGAGGGCATTTCTGGCAACGTTTCAATCTAATTAATCAAGATTATCAGTTCTAGTCAACTTTAGCTGAAATTGTAATTATCTCAAAGCCTGTGGAGACAAGCTAATGAAGAATTTCTGCATTTCAGATAAGGTGCTCACTTCGCAGGATTGTAAACATCGATGTCCTCCAGGAGCAGCGGGCTGAAGGAAGTGTTGTGATTGGAGCTAACCAGGATCTTCAGCACCCTGCCGTCCTCTGAGCCCAGGAACAGAACAGTGTGGTTCTTGTACGGTCCAGCAGAGGTGTCCACAGCTATTTGAGTCAGCTTAAACCTGGAGAAGACAAGGGTGGCAGTCAGAATAGGTACAAAAGATCTTTACAATTAGCTTGCACATTTTCCCATAATCCTCTGAATTATTTTCTACGAATCTGATTACATTCCCTGCACGTTACTTTCCCAAAAACTTTCCCAAGCTATTTAATCCAATACTTCACACACAAGTTTTTGGATGCATTTACTTTCAGCTTTAACTGTCGAACATGTATTACTCAAGGGAGAAATCAAAACAAAGGGGGCGCTTTCATAAAGTGCGAAGCAGATGTGAAACCGCATCCTGCCTCCACCTTCGCCGTCTGTCTCGGCGGTTGGCAGCAGCGTAGCTACGCGTGTGGTGCAGCGCAGCTGTCAAACAGCCTGACACACCGCACGGGCACTTCCGAGTTCAGACGGCAACCGGGTGGCCACTAATTAGCTGCACGAGGCCCAGCATGGTGACTCCAGTCAAGCCAACCCAACCTCGAAGTTGCTCCAAGATGGCTGCCAGAGCCGGCTAAGCGGCTGAAACTAAGAGCCAGAACGCAGCTGCCCGAGGCCCAGGGTTACCTGCTGGTGGTACGGGTAAAGTAGGGCCGGTTATTGACTGAGGGAACAGCCTCATCCATCAGCGGGTAGGACTTGATGAAAGAGAGCATGTCGTCTGGGAAGGAGACGGAGGACTTGTAGGAAGCCGCGGGGCCATCGCCGGCACAAGAACCTGGCCTGTGACAAAAAGCTTCCCTTAATAAATGTCATCGTCCTTCAGCCCAGTTCGCACCCCTACCAAATCATTTTACAGTCTCAGATGTATCACGAAACCTGAATATTAAGGCTTCATGAATCAGATAAAGACATATAATCCGCAGGAGAAAGGTATGAGCAGCTTTGAGAAGATAGGTGCAAAAGCCCATGACCACTAATTCTCACCTGGGTTTGGGAACCTGTTCCTCAGGGACGGGCGTCCAGGCCGACTCGCTGCTCCTCTGCTCTTTGAACTTCCCGCCGAAGGCTTTCTCGATGTCGTCCATGTAGAAGGTGCACACTGCTGAGCCGGTGATGCTGCACGGCGTGTTCACACAGAGATCGAGACTTCAGCCTCCATCATCGGCGACATATTCATTGAAGGACTGGTATCACGAGGCTAACTATTCCCGTGGCAGACATGCACCACGGTTAAGTCAATCAGAATGACTGCAAAAAGGCGGTTGCCATGGTGAGCGAGGATCAGCTGACCTGTTGACCTGCGTGGTGAAGACTCCAACCACGGCAGGCCTCTGGTTAATCTGCAGCACGTTCGTCAGGGACTGCAGGACGTCGAAGTAGAAGAAGGAGTCTCCCGGCACTGAACAGTTGAGCCGGGCCTTTAGGAAAGAGGTCCAGTAGCGCTCCAGTACCCGTGGAGAACCGCCGTTGTCATTTTTACATACCCGGGCCACACGGGAGAACACCACCTGAAAGGGACAAGTGTGACAGAGAGGACGGTCAGGAAAGGGGACAGAAGAACTGTGTTATGTCTTAAGGCTACAACAGCCAGATGAAAAAATAGCTGCTATTAGTGGTCACATGGTTTGAAGATCCTTACTTTGCCTAGGGTCGTGTACTCCACTGCAATCTCACTGAAGAAGAAGTAAACATAGTTCCCGTACTCAATAGCATGGAGGAAATGAGGTTCTGAGAAGGAACAAAGGAGCTGGATCAACTGCGGCAGCATTCAGGTTGGCCATCCATAGAGTAGAAAAATGCTGATGTGATTCCTGGTATGCCAAGGCCTTGAGACCCACCTCGAAGCCACTTTGAGTCATATTTGAACGTGCGGAGGACTGGTGCGCTATCGCCGAGGCTGCGGTAGATCACCGCATCGCTCGCCAGGAAGTCTGTCATCGTGGCCGAGTAGAAACTGCCACCTAAACAGAAAAATGGCAGAGAGACCCTAGCGAATCTCTACAGGGGCTAACAAAACCTTTCCTCAGATGGACCAAAGTACAGTTGACAAAAGTGTATGACATCGTAGACGTGGCATTTTTCAGATAGACTTTGTGGGTAATAAAAGATACAGAATCAATCAATCAATCGATCCATCTATCTATAGCTGTGTCCATCCATCCATACATCCATCAATCTCTATTATGCATTTTATTATAAGTATTGGCTGTGCGTTCTGTTTTCACGTTTCCTCTGGGTACTTCAGTTTCCTCCCGCAGTCAAATCACAGGCACTCTGGGGAAGTAGCGTCTCTAAATTGCTCACAGTGCCCAAGTGAGGAATGGACTAGCATCCTGTCTAGGGTATCCCCTGTCATGTGCCCTGTACTTCCTGGGGCATGTGGTTATGTCAGGCGGATGAATGATGATACTTATACTGCTAATGATAAACGAACCATCTTTTAAACTGCATTAACATACCATCTACATTTAACATATTATTAAATGGTGTGTGTTACAGGGGTTAGCTATCATTATGCAAGCTGAGATTGTTTCGTGCTTAATTTAAATGTATCTATGTCCATGGTACATCGAGAGTTAAAACAACACACAGCAAAATTTCACGTTAAAAAATGTTGCCGGTTTGTACATAGAACCAGAACACTGATCATGTGGGGCTCACTGACATCATTACCACCGGATAACGGAATGAAGCCAACTTTGACGGTCCAAGTTACACTCTCAGTCAATCTCTGGGAAAGCTGCTCATAAAATAGGTTTCATCTCATCCCCTTCGTACGATTTTTTCAATTTCTACCAACAAGACAATGTCACAGAGTTCCTCTGGCCAAGGAGATTACACATAAAAAGTACTTTATTCCTCCGGCTAATAGCATCTTAAATGCTTCGAAATAAGTATTCTGATTGGCTTTGCGATTTTTACTGACTGTTTTTATTACTTGTGTTATGTATAAGCCATGTCTAAGAGGTATTTTTGTTACATAGTGACAGACCAAGTTTTCTTGAATCGTCATTTGTTTGCTTCTGCTCACTGGTTGGTTGGCTAGTGCAGTGATGGCTGTCTGTCCTGAGCAGGACCCCGCCCACCATCTCTCTCCACCAATGGTAAATCGGCAAGGTTGCACATGCTGCACAGGGCAATGCCTGGAACAGTATGGATGGGCTCCCGAAGACTCACCTGCGAAGAGGCCTACGTTGGACTGCCGGGATTCAAAGGGACAACGGGCTTGTCCCACTACTTCCTCCCCGTCCTGCTCGAGAGTGGACATCTAAAAGGATCAAGTCAAAGCATCCTCAAGTCCAAAACCACACTCTCAAAACTCTGCATGGGAACTGATGTGAAAGAGGTGAATGTAGCATACAGAATTAGCCAGCCAATCAGCACACAACATGGAGCATGGTCTTCAGGGAAATCTCTAGAGCAGTCTCTCTCATCTCACTCCTCTGAGACCGCCAGACAATCCACAATTTTTGCTCCTTTCCCAGGCCAGGTATTTTATGTTCTTGATTGGTTCAGGTGTGCCAGAGGCTGAGAGGGAGCAAAAATGTGGACTGTCTTAGGGTCCCTGAGAATTGGGTTGAGAGACAATGCTCTAGACTGCTGTCCACTATAAACCATTCAATAACTTTTTCTTGGATTCCTTGAGAGTCGATAAACCTCAATAGAGGAGCAGTAGACTCCAAGGGAATGTAATGGCACAAAGCAAAGAACTACTTCTATTCACATTACATCACACGGCCATCAGTAACAGCGATTAAGCCCCCGGTTCACGCAGCTCAGTTCCGCTCAGTATTGTGCCCATTGTTTGCAAGACGTCTTCACCACTTCCTGGCACCGAATGGGAATGCCACTTATAGCTGGGCTGCAGGAAAAGCACACTGGTCTCACCCTAAGACCGAGTACAACCTGCCACACAGCGCCACCGAAATCCTGGGGGTGTCGCTTTCCATGGAAAAAATGCGAATCACGCTAATTAAAACGTAACTCCACCCCGGTCACTTCTCCAGACATAAAGCCCTTTCTGAAAGTACTGCTGATAGATCACCAAAGAAAACGCTTTACTGCTTCCTATTGCCTCTGTGTTTACAAGGGGGGGCAGTATGGATTTTAATGAAACGTTTTCTATACCTGGCAGATTTACAGAGGATGACTGCTGACCTCCTTGTATATCATCATTCTATATTTAGCTCTCTGGATCACATACTTGGAATTAGACTGGCACCTCTCACGTAAACTACTCAACTAACGCCAACAGCCGTTCTGGGAAGCAGACGCCACACCACTGTTCACATCTGCTGTTGCCACATCGTGCCGTTTCACATCTTCCGTCTCACGTTCCTTGTCCGGCTGCCCCGCCCAGCTTGTTTTGGTCCTTACTAGGCTCGATTTAGCACCGAAATTCAAAACGGAGGCTATCACACTTTGGCAGTCTCGTCAGGCATAATTCCGAGGACTGGGACAAAACTATTTCAACCAAGCCCCCCCCCCCCTGCACCCACCCTGGGGGGCCAGGACCTGGGGCAGCTTCCCTGGCTGTCCCCTCAAGATGGAGAGCCAGTGCTTTGGTATCAGACTAATTTCCTTAATCAGGCCGATAAATTAGTCAGCTTTAATGAAGCCAGCATGTAGCTACAATTGAAAACAAGCTCATTTAGATTGTAGTTAATAAGCTATTTAAACCTTTTTGCTTAAACAGTTTACCAAGTAATGGTATCATTTCTAGCTTAAAACAAGATATACTTGATATAATAGCATCCTTTTACGTATCTAAGGGCCCCTGTAAAGTTTTGGGCCCCCTGTATCTGCCAGGGTACCCAAGCCCCTCCGCCCCCCCTGGTGCCGCGAGCACCGCATGTTGGGTACCTTGTAGTTGCGGCAGGTGGGGTTGAAGGCGTTCGTTCCGCAGGCGAACAGCGTCTCGTCGTCACGCGGCACCAGCACCTTGATGTAGTTGTAGCACTCGTCCTGCGATGCGGGTGGAGCGGGTGACTTACTGGTATCACCCGGAGCGGCGCTTCGCACGCACACGCATCCTTTCACGTCGCTGCCGTTAGCATAATCCCTCAACTGGGCCCCGCCCCTCCGCCGGCAAGCAGCCCACCTCATCGGCATCGGTCCCCGAAACACCCGGCGAGCCCAACCCGCGACAGGGACCCCCATACTCACGCTGTTCTTGCCCCTCACGGTGCACTTCTCTACATCCTTCGTCTTCCACGTCAGTTTCTGCAAGGCACGTGTACGCAAGGTTAGGCTTCCCCCTCCAGATGCTCCGGGGACACGGAGAATGGCGGAATGGCGATCGCAAATCACCATTTGACGGATTTATGAACAACAAGCCCAGAAAAAAGACATCTGGGCAAATCGGGGGGGGGGGGGGGGCTTTGACTACAGGTTACCGGTTGACAGATTTAATGAAGGAAGCGAAACAGTCTACAAAAAAATACATTTCAAAAACCCGAAAAAGAAACAAAACAAAAACAAAACAACCAAAGGCGGCTGCTTTATTTTTTTGCTGTGTAATTCATTTGTAACAGGGCCTGGGTTCTGGAGCGGATCAGCGCTGATGAAACACTGCCGCCTTCCCAGCAGTGCAAGAATTATAGCGCAGGCTCACTGCTGAACCCCTGATCCCCGAGATTTAAAAAAAAAAAATCCACTTGGTAAGCTTGAGTGTTCCCATGTGCGGTGCCTCTCCCTGAGGGGGGGAGGGGGATTCTAGGAAAGCCAGCTCCTCAGCTCCAACTCGACAGGACAGTGGGGAACCTTGGCAGGTGATGCACCATCCGCGTCCCCCACCAGGCTACCGGTAAACGGCAGTGTGTGGTTCAGCCGGTTAGGATGCTGTGCTTGGGAGCAGAAGGTCGCTGGTTTGAATCCCAAGGTTGAGCGAGCGATTTCACTGCGGGGCCCTTCAGCAAAGCCCTGAACCCTAATTGCTCCAGGGACTGTCTGACCCTGCAAATGTAGACGACTGTGGATAAAAGCATCTGCTAAATAAATAAAATGCAAATGAGCCGCGCATTAATAGTCCCTGACCTGTCAATGACCTCGAAGTTACTCTCTCTCTCACTTAATTAGTCCCTTTAAGTTCTTAATGGTATGACTCTCAAACATGATAATGTCTACATTTGGCAGGAGCAATTCTAGGGCTTTTTAAGCTGGGGGACATAATTCATACAAAGTCAACCTTATCATTAGCCAATGATATGTTTTGAATCAGTGAGTGACAGGGGTGGTGGAACTCAATGGGCCAATCAGCTTTTGGCTAGGGCCAGTGCCCCAGTGGCTCTGCCCCTATATACACCCCTGATCCAGTGACATCACCCATATCCAGATCTCGGGATCAAACAAACACAAAGTGATTTTGTTGGGACGGCCTTCCTGACTGTATACCCAGTCACGGTGCAGTGGTGTTACTGCTACGGGGAACCACTCCACATCACAATTGCTACTTTGAATCATATTGTTTCCCATTTCGAATTGAAAGGCGCTTCAAGTGAACCGATGGTCAGTTTTTGAGTGTTGACACTGATTTGAAACAACAAAAAGTTTTTTCTTCTCATATGTAATGGGGAGCCAATCATAAGCGTGTTAAACACCCAACCTGCCATCGTCTGAACGGGCTTCCTTATCTCAAGTACAGTCTGTGAAATTTACATTTACATACAACATATTTGGCAGATGCTTTTGTCCAAAGTGACGTACAATGAGGTGAGTAGCACATTACAAACCCATAATATCAAGGAATCAAGTAGGCATGAGTGTGTTTCGGCCGAGCTTCCAACGAATGCCCAGGTACAGGAGTGAGCAGTTACCGGAGCAGGAGCTACACAACAACGCTTAAAGCAAGAGATCCAAGAAATCAGCACATTTACTCTCATTTATTCCCTTGCACTTTCATTTGCACATGGTATTCCTACTGTGCTCCTTAGCTTTGTACATATTGCATAGTGAAATGTTTCAACCAAGTGTCCTGGCACCGAACCACAACCAGTTCCGGAACGTTTGCACATACTGGCAATAAAGTGTTCCGAGCCAAATTGAAAGTATCTTGTATTGTTATGTTCAGATGTATGATGCGTGGAGTCATTACAGACATGGGGTGAGTTTCCCGAAGCCTTCTTAACGCTACGTTGTTCGTTAGTTCTATCTTTTAACACAGAACTTAAGAACGACGTAGCGTTAAGAACGCTTCGGGAAACTCACCCATGGTAATTTAAGACACGACATTAAGACCAAGACAGCAAGATACAGTTCCAAGATACCGGCAATAGGGCATGAAAACAAATTATACGCACGCTTGCCAGAAACGTTTCCCTGTTTATGATCCGGTGGCTTCTGCTTACCTGCTGCGGGACGATCCGCTCGGACGCAGCGCTGAGATTGACGGCGAACACGTGGTCCCTGCGAGGCACGGGAGAGGAACGCTCAGCGCCGGCGGGGACATGTGACGTGGGGGAGGGGGCGGTGCCCTGTGGCGGATGCCGCACTCACCTAGCAGCGACGTAGAGCGCGCGGTTGATGCGCACCATCCGCTGGAAATCCAGGCCCAGCCTCAGGGTGTCGTTGTCGGACACAAGGCCCTGGAACGTGGGGTAGAGGTAGGAGCCTGTGGAAGCGGGAGAGAGGAGGAACGCCGGGACATGAAACCGCACCTCCTCACTACTGTCATCATATAACGAATATTATGACGACTCAACCGAATGTTACCTCCAAACCCATCCACCCACCGGTTTTCTTGACACAGTTCATCCCTTTCAGGGTCACGGGGGGTGCGGAGCCTATCCCAGAGGCTACGGGCGTAAGGCAGGGAACGACCCAGGATGGGGCGCCAACCCCAAACCTAACGCCCATAGAGCCTTATCCAAGTCTTGTTTTCTATATACTCTAGACACAGTGCTATGGAGTAAAATAATGGGTTTTACTCCACAGCATCAAAATATTTTCCCCCTCATCAAAATATTTTGTGTCACCAATCAGGCACGCAGTAATATTAAGCATTTGAGCCCTTCATCAAAATGTATTTCTGGCTACGGGCCTGACATACTCTATGTTGCTGGTTGGATATTTTTCTCTTTACCACACAATGTTGTTATTTTTGTAATTTTATGTTAATGTGACCAATTACAGCAAAACAAAGTATTTCTCCTGAGGCTGTGCATAGCGAATAAAGTTGATTCTGGTTCGGTCCCTATTTGTACAACATGCCTATCATGTTCCTGAGGTTCATTAACCATATCAAGCTGTCACCATGGATGTCCCAGGCTTCTGAAAGAGACTCAAACTCTAGGCTTGTGTTCCATGTATCTCGTGAGATCTTTCAGATCTGAAAGCCACTGAAGTATTGTACCTATGAAAGGTCAAGCACAGGGGGCATTTAATAACCTGCACTGTTCGCACTCAGACATCGATAATAAGAGCAAAACAATTTCCAGTGGAAATCAGCGTAGCTGGAATCTTTTTAAACAATGCATTTCTCTGCTAGGTCATGCAAATAACTTCGTATTTTAATATTAACCGTTTGATTAGTTTCATTAACCGCCAGACCTTTGATACTTGACAACATGGTTATTAATCACATTTAAAGCAAATACAAACTGAAATATTTAGAAAGGTTACCCGGTATAACTTTCTGCTGTTCAGTTTCCTGCAGTATTACTGCAGAATCACTAAACCCAGTAGCTAGTGGCTTGGCAACCTTCCCCCAAAAGCCGGCGACGGTAAAATCCACCCCTGGATTAACCATAAGCATGTGTTGTGCCGTAACAATAATTAAAACGAACCCGTGTCTCTTTAAAACGGGCAGGAGAGCTGCTGGCTACTGCTCCCGGGCCTCGTGTTGCGGACCCTGCAGATTTGGGGCTGCGCTGGCTGCATGGCTCATGTGGCACTGCCTGATCATCTTATGCTGAGCATACAGAACAGGGCCATGACACCGCTGGTCCATCCTATTCACCTGGGAGGCCAGGCAGGGTATTCATGTTCTTCTGATTGCCCTTTATTTCCAGAGAATGGAGAGGAACTACCTTGAAGGTATGATTGTTTTAAAATGAATGAGTATATAGCATCTAAACTACATTAATGTGTGGAAGAACAGCGGAGAAATGGCTTCTTTAGTGTTTAGTTTTGTCGCTTCAATACTTAATTTTACAGCTAAACATTTATACGTGTTGAGCACAGCAACACAACTACAGTGTATAGCAATTTTGGCACTGGCCAACAACTACTGAGGGATGATTCTTCTTTGACTACTGATGGAGTCTACTTCGAAATGGCCGTTTCTAATTATGGCGCCATGCTTTATTCAAAACATTAATTGATTTGGGTATAGAACATGGCTGGACTCATTGCCTTAATGATTTGCTCATAAACAAATTATGGAGATGGTGCACAAATCCCAAACTTGAATCACACCCCACCTGAATCTATATACTTCTCTGTGAGACTAGTTTAATCACTGATGCATGAGGGCTCTGAACGTGCCCTGCAATTATTCAAGGAGGAAATCAGAATCCATTCACTGGTTTGTTTGAAAAACAAAAAAAACCCCAGACATGCCGGTGAACTCGTTTACGATATTTGGTATACTTGAGAATTTTGTGGATTTAATTAAATTGAATACCAGCACATTTCCGACAAGAGCCCCTGACAGCCACGGTGGGAAAGAGCCATAAACAAACGGGGAAGAAGTCTCACTTCCTAGGATATGACAGCCAGTCAACGAGGTGCTTATATTACATTTCTGCTAATGGAAGAGCTTCATTACGTTCCTGCTAATATTCACTAAATTTATGCTAATCGTCACTGCTAATTGTTCTGCCACAACTCCAATAATTGCGAAATCTAATGATATTTTTTTCGGTACTGCCAAAGTGAAGACTGAATTAATATTCTTAATTGATATTTTTTAATACTTTATGATCACATTTAGAGTTCTGCCTTATGGGGGTACGTCCATATGCTTCATTCTCCGCTTCCTGCTCATATTTCGAATAATACTGAGAGCGGGGTATCAGCTTGCATGCAAATGAGGCCAGAGCGGGCGTCCTTACGCTGCCTGCTGACCACGCTGATAGGCTCCAGGTCCTTGGGGAAGGGCACGGCGGCGGGGGCAGCGGGGGTGTGCAGCAGGCAGGAGGTCACCACAAGGGCCAGCATCGCGAGGGGGGGCCGCGGCCCCGGGGTACCACTCATATCCAGGAGCGATGGTCCCGATTCTAGGAGAACACCATGCCGGACCTGCCCTGGGAGGGGAGACAAAGCATCACACACTGTCATGGAAATCCGAGAAGTTACTTCAGAATGATACTTCAGTGAAGGTTACTCGCGAAGGACGAGCTTAATAAATCCAGTCATTTTCCCCCCCTTCTAAATCGAGAATTTGTAAATCTAAGCAGCCACTTTCACTAGCATAAGGCAGCGTGGCATTAAAGGATGCTACCTTCAGGAACGGGTTCACTTCAGGTTCACGAAGCAGTGACTGTAAACAGAGCACGGAGGCATCATTAAAATTCCCTATTAATGGAGCCGGCAGGGCGGCTGCTGCACTCGGCGAGGGAGCGCGCCCCCGCGGGAGGCGCAAGAAGGGGATCAGAGCAGGAGAGCCTCGCCCACAGGGACACCTGGCTCATTTACTCACAGACAGCGGCCTTTCACAGGTGAGCGAACACAATTAGCGCGAGGTGCCCCCTGGGGGAGGGGCTTACACGTGCCGACGGTGACACCGGGAAGATGGCGAGACACTGGATTCTGACTGAAGGAGAAGGACAGCGTAAATGGGGGGGGGGGACTAGGACGACGACAAAAAAAAACAGCAAAAATGGCTGCCGACAAAGGTCGAGATTGTAACTTTGAGTAACGTTCGCTTTGGCAGAATTATTAATTACATATGCGGCGGTGAATCGGGTCCAGATTGTCTTGCAATGCTAATTCTGACATCTGTTCCTTTTTGAGGTAAAGGCCCAAGACAGATGGATGGCACCACGCAAACAGCCTTTCTGCGGGGGCCAGGGGGCTAACAGGGGGCACCGCGTCCTCTGCTCTAATCAGATATGGCTTAAAGTGTATGAGCGGTTCTGAGTGGCGATGAGGGACATCAGCACACGGTCCTGAAGGAATCAGAGGCAAACTCGACAGGGACATGGAGCACCATCAATTACGACACGACAGCCTCATTCAGACCCAGCGGAGATGGTGGCGCCCGGTGATGAGCTCATGTGATAATCAAAAAGCCATAAATTTCTAGAGTGAGCGTCTGATCTGGTTTACTTCATAAATTGCACCAACCTGCAGCCCCCATCCCTGACAACACGCAGTACATCAAGCAGGCGAGACGGATGACACTGTTACTGTAAATGGACTGGCGATGCCGTGGGGAGGGGCCCTTCTGATGACAGAGCAGCGAGACGGACGCACGGCGACTTTCCAATCAAAACCCAGACTGGCGGTTTGGCCCTGTCATGGCTCACAGCTGGAAACCGACTCTATCTGGCCAGCTAACGTGCTAAATGTTTAAGAGCATCGCCACACCCTCTCGCCTGTGTTTGCTGGGGTCTCAACTTGCGGCGAAAACAAGGGAAAGTTCCAGAAAGGCTTACCCTGGTATTGATTTCAGTCCTTCTTGACTGAAAACTAATACAACCCAGACAAGTTAAGTCCATTTAAAAGGGGAACCGGGAGAGAGATGTCCGTTCCTTATGAATGTGTTGACGAGGACATCCCTGGATTTTGAAAGTCATCACGAAGCATCGCTTAACACATAACAAGAGTGATCTTCATCACTTATGGCAGGGAACGAGTGCTTTGTACGAGAGCTTATGCAAACCCCTCCGGCTCCGTTGTGGTCTAAATTTGCTAAGCCTTAGAAGTCTAGGAAAGAAACTTTTCCCTGTCTTTCTCAGAGAGCCAAAAAGCTGAAAGAAGATAAGTTACGGACGCCGGTGGACAGGCCTCGCTCCCGTGCGCTGTGGCGATGGTGCAGCGCGGAGATTCTGCGACAGACGTGGCGGCTGGCCTGCCCCGCAGCAGATAACTCCGCCACTGCTATAAATACACCCAACGGAGCCCAGAGGGACAGTCTCTGGCCGCTGCTGGAGACGGGCTCATTCCCGTCCTCAAAAACCACTGCCTGCTCGATTTCATGACCACAATGCAGCAGTTTAGAGCTCCAACGCCCACAACGAGCTGCACTAACGCGTTAAATTAAGGACTGATTAGACTGGCACTAGCGGTCAGAGGCCACTAATCACCGCATCCCTAATCAACTCATCTCCCCTCCCTTAGTTTGTAGTTGAATTAATAGTAGAATGTAATCTGACACACTAGCCCACACGGCACGACTTTTGTCCTTGGGATTATAAAGACTCCCAGATGGGAGTAACTGCGACACCATGTACCCATCTATGTCTCTACAATACATATTGCATAGTTAGCTAAATTAAGTTTTTATAGTAAAATGTATTTTTTATCATACTACATTTTATAAATGTGACTTAAGAGCAGCTTTGCTCTGCATGCACACCCCAGCCCTGGCATCAAAGCATTTGCTGTTCAAGCTTGTTGGCAGAAGTGGGAGGAATGTTCATTACGGCAGATGCTGTAGCACCTCCGCGCGCTACGGCACTTCCGCTCAGTCCAGGCCAATATGCACTCGTCAGTTCAGTGTTTTAAAGTTTCTACTTTTCCCTTAATCAATAGCTATCATTTAGCAGGCGACGGGACAGAGATGACGCTGAGCCGGAAGCTGTCGATAGATAAACCTCCGCTAATCCCGTTTCTTTGTACTCGTGCTCTTTGGGGTGCTGGTCCACTCTTTAATGTTGACTTGTTAAGCTTTCTGAGAGACAGTTTCTCTCTGTAGAACAGAGGATTGTGGGCCTTTGAGGCCACGAACCATCTTACAGTGGTTTAGATTCAGCACTGGCTTCTTCTATAGAGAAATATCCAGAAGGCATTGCGGAGTACAAAGTACAACCAGGACTCAGAGTTACGTCGAAACTGCGCACACAATTTCATGCGCACACAATTTCATGCGCACACAAATTCATTTTATTTTCCAGCCTCTTCTCCTGGTACAGGCCATGGTGCCATTTTATATTTTTTGACTGCAATTTTCCATTTATTTAACCTTTTTACTGCAGCTCTCCCAAACTAGTTTCCCACAAACTCCCCGCATCTGCTAAAGAGCGCCTAATATCAAATTTACTACCCCCGCGGGTGATCACCAACACTGCCTGATGTTTCCCAGAGTTCCCAGTGCAACAGGCATGTGTGCTGGGTTTCATAGCAATATGAACCCAGTAAGCCCCCCCCCCCCCCCGCTCCTGCCACCACCCCCCACGTCTACCACTCCTGAGAGCAGGATAGCGTTTCCTGGCTTTCCTGTGTCATTTCAAACATGATTAAGCACATTAGCCTCTGCCCCCTATGGACCAATACCTTTACTGCGGCTCTATCTAAGGCTTGTGTGCCTGCCTGTGTGATGGACTGGGGACCGACGGCTGATCACATGACCCGGGGGACTCAGACACAGTGGCACCGTGAAGCTCGATCAGCTTGCGACTAACTGTAGATGGAATGCCTGCGCTAATTTTGTGATCGATTCTAATTTAGTTATGAAATACTCTCGCATGTGCAAAGTCTCACAGGCTTTAAAACTGCCTCCATGACAGTCACATTCGTCAAGGGAATCTTATGGATACCCATGCAGGGGGCCCCAAAACCTACTGTGGGGGGGGCTGCTCTGAAAAATCTGCTCTGACTCCGGGTGGTGGTGAAGGGGACATCGTGTCAAGGGGCCTAGAATTTCTTGCTACGCCCTTGTATTTCGCCAACCTCCAGGAAATAGCAACATGAATTTATATGTTTAGGTCCATGTTTAGTATTATAAGCCACATCCTTCTCATGTAAGAGCCTTATATAGTACAGTCAAAAGCTAAATACACTTAGAACTAATAGGTAGAAGCACTAAAAGTAAATCTACAATTATATAAAATTATTGGTCAATGCATTTCTTAAATGGTTGAACTGCAGCTTATGGAAAATCGGAAATGCCATATTTAGCTTTAAGAATTTAAAATCAACGATTAGATAAAAGCTTAAAATACGGAGTGCAAAACAGTCAGAACTGATCACAATGCTGAGATCAAATCAATAATTATGAAAGTGTAAAAAATGCATAAAAAACACACTGGAAAAATACTTTAAAATGTTTGGTTCAGAGATAAACAAGGTCATGCTCTTTGCAGTTGGCCGTATTGATATTTCTTTAAACCCACGCTTGTCAGGACAGTAAATATGGATTTTTTCCTTAAGCTAATTCTTTGCTGTTGCTTTATTTCCAGAAGACAAAAATAAATCAGGGGGAAAAGTAAACTAAAAACAAGACAGCATGAAGACCAGAAAAAACTTATATCACATTTAAAGAAAAAAATTACCTCAATAATGATATTACGAATAAGCATAATAAGTACAGCAATTTCATTTTCAGGGAGAAATTACTTTACTTATAAATGTCAGACTTACTGAATGGTTTCTAACTAAATTATTTCTGTCAAAGTTAATATCTGTTTTTTTAGGCCGATGCTGTCATTAAAAAGTCTGAGTTCGCGTCCTACAAGTGACTTGTTAGAACGTAATTGACAGTGGACTTTAACTCGCTTTTCTGTGGAAACCCCAATTTAAATATCACACACAGTATCAATCCATGAGTCAAACGTGAATTCAAGAAAAAAAATTTGATTCATAGTGATTCAAATTGATTTACGAAACTATATAAAAATTACACAGTGTATGGAAATTGGGTACAATAACAAAAGAAAAGTTATATAATACGGAAATTATATAATATAGACATATTTTAGATGTATTATGTTAAGTAACTGGCCCACGCCAGTTGGCCCATGTCATATTGCAGATTACAGCAGCCGTGACAAGCCGCCCCGACGTTATCGGACCATGACGTCATAATGAAGCTCACGTGGCTGTAGATCAGCAGTGCTACACGCCCGCGTCCTTGAGTTGCTTGTCTCATTGTATCAGGCGCTGCTCTGCTCATCTGCCAAATCAATTCTGTGCAGGGAACTGCCCCCAAGACAAGAACGACTCTAATTAGAATGCTAATACTTAGCTCCATTGGCGCTGCTGATCAAAACCGAATCAAGTATATATGAGGCAAAGGACAAATCAGAAGTCCTGCTGGATACTGAGATAGCTTTTCTAAGTGATTCTTAACGGCTAATTAATT